TAGATGCATCCCGACACCTCGAGGTTGATGTGGGCATTGTACCTAAAGGGAGTAAAAACATCTTACAAAAAAATTACTTTCGGGAAAGCCATGGATTGTAAGGGACGACCCGTCTGTTGTCGATACGGAACGTAGCACCTAAAACAAACTATTTGAACCGAGGATGGGTAATCTTACCTTGCACCGATTTGGAAGGCACGTCCATGAAGCGACCGTCATCGCGCCGCCGGTACTCGGGATAACCGTCTTCGTTGAGAGCGGTGGTGTCACGAAATGACTTCGGAAACCGCTTGGAGCATTTGCCGTCCTTCATGCATGGAGAGAGCGGGTTGGTTGGCCCACATTCCCTGTGCACCATACATCCCGATATGATGTTGTAGAGGATGGGGTCGGCGTCCTTGTCCGGGAGTTCGGCTGAGATGAGCGAGTCAACCTGATCCGGATTGCGAATTTTCCAGTCATCCGTCAACGTCATTAGCATATGCATATGCGGCAGCCCTCGCTTCTGGTATTCAATGACCCAGACCCATGCTTTGACTTGGCCGAGCACGCCTTTCTTGATGACATCCTCGAGCAGGGCCGCGCATTTTTCTTGGAATACCCGTGCCACCAAATCCGGGCGGTCGGATGCGGTTTGGCCGGGCGCCAAGTTGTCCTTGATATCCGTCCAGCTTGGGTTGCAGGTGAACGTCAGGAAAAGGTCGGACTGCCCGTGCTTGCAGGTGATGCTGACCGTGTCGTGGTACTTGGCTGACATGTACCGGCGCCCTCCTCGAAAAGTGGATCCCAGGATGATCCTACCCGGAGCGGGTCCTCCCGGGTTACCGGCTGCCGCTTGGTCCTGGACGTAATCATCGAGCCCAGGCAGGTTGTCGACACGCAGTTGGGCTTGATTGTCCTTGTGGTACTGCAGGTCGTTTTGCTCGGCGCGAAGAAACACATCGACCACGTATTGTTGCATCAATTTGCCGGCATACAGGAGCGGATTGAAAGTGTTCATCCGGGAGAACAACAAAAAGGCGTAGTACTTCTTCATCGTGAGCGTGTCATATTTGCGCTCCGGACCCGTATTTTGCAGTTTCAAATGGCGCTGCCAGCCGTCTTTGCCCGTGGGGTAGAGCAACGGATAGGTGAACGCGTCGAGGCGCTTGTCCTGGTAGTGCAGCTTCTGAAGCCGCTTCCCGCGTTCATAGATGACGAAAGCGCGCTCACCGGGGATATCGTCATCGTCTCCCACATAGACGACCGCGATTTCGTCGGCGGTGGCGGCGTTGTAGCGGCGTTGGTCGTCCTTCTTATCATATTTGAAGACCATCGAAACCTTATTGCTTCTGGGTGTGTTTGCGGCGCTCGCCTTGGCCTCTTCCTCTTTCACGACCTCGGCCATGTTCTTGAAAGCCTTGGCGTACTGGTGCTCGCGATTCAACATGCCGTGGAGCAGCGCGAAAACTCCGGCGTCGCAGCCCTTGTTCATTGGTCGGCCGGCAAGCTCTGCAGCGGCCTCTGCCGTATCCATGATCAGCACTTGCGCGCAGACGGGCGGGACGCCGACTTCTGGGTGAAGCGATCCGGTGGCGTGATAGACAGCTCCGTGAACCGTGAAGACGTAAGGCCCGCCACCTCTTGGTGTCTTCAGATCGGCCACCATCGACGCCATGGCGAGACCGTTGTTGTACTGCCGAATGTGCTGGCGGAAGGCTTTTTCCCTATCGCTTTGGCCGACGAAAAGCTGGCGCAGCTCGGCTGGCATCGGGCCAAACGGGTCGAGCGTGACTTTCCCTTTGGCACAGCAGTTTGTGTACATGTCCGGCTTGCCCTTGTCCGTTTCCGAGTAGAAGTGCAGGGCCCCGCATCCTGTGCATGGATAGACCATCGAACCGGTCGAGTGTTCGAGCGGGCGAGAAAGCGGCTCCCGGGCTAAGCCGATCGTTCCTTGTAATCGGCGCCCTTGCTGCCGTCTCGCACTGTTACTTGCACGGGCAGTTGATGCTTGTTGCGGCGTAAGGGAGGCTCGTTGTGCTCTCATCCGGTCACGATGACGCTCCCGATCCTCCTCGTCTTGTGCAGCACGCCGGGCGCGATCGCGTTCACGTTCGCGTTCCCGTTGCTCATCATCGGCCACTGCACGACGGGCTTCCATTCGAAGACGCTCTTGTTCGCGTTCGGCATCCGTGGCAGCAGATCGACGCGCTTCACTTCGAAGACGGTTCTGTTCTCTCCGGGCCTCTTGTTGCTCGGCGGGCATTTCCTGAAAAATCACCAAGTTGACAGGCCGAAAGCATAAAGCTAAAAAAAAACGAAATAAGAAACAAAAATCAAACATTTCTGCGGGCCGCGCTCCGAAGGCGATCTTGCTCCCGACGTGCTTCTTGTTGCTCGGGGGTCAGGCGAGCTCGCGGCATTACCTGAAAGATCACCAAATTTAAATACGGAAAGCATAAAGCCAGAAAACAATAATGGAGAACGAAAAGGAAATCGAATGCGCATGCAAATCAAAATGCAGGCGAGGACAAGAAGAAAGCTTTTAGAAAGAAAAGAAAGGAAGAAAGAAAGAAAGAAAGAAAACAACGCGACGATAGCGAAAGTCAATAATGTTACACCGTTATTAAAGTTAGTCGATTAAAAGTTAACCCTTTGAAACAAAGTTGCATCCCTTCGTCGATACTAAAAAACATCTAAGAATTGTGGAATGGCTAGAATACCATTGAAAGAAAGTTATTTCCCTTCTTTGATGCTAAAAAAACATCTAAGAAACGCGTAATGGCTAAAATACCCTTGAAAGAAAGTTATTTCCCCTTCTTTAATACAAAAAAAACAATAAAAACCGTTGCGAAACAATTATTCTTTTGTTTGGGGTTTCTGCTACCATTAATGCGCGAACGGCCCCTGTGACCTCTGGCCCCTGCCCCTCTCCCCGGGACATGCCCTGAGGGCACGTTGAATTCCCGGTCGCACGTCGGGCGCACGGACAAAGAAATTTATATATAGTAGATTTTGAAGGGAGCAGCCGCCAAGCGGAGTCAAAAATTAAGTTGAATTTTGAAGGGAGCAGCCGCCAAGCCGAGTCAAAAATTAAGTTGAATTTTGAAGGGAGCAGCCGCCAAGCGGAGTCAAAAATTAAGTTGAATTTTGAAGGGAGCTGCTCCTTACTGGGGTCAAAAATTAAGTTGAATTTTGAAGGGAGCTGCTCCCGACTGGGGTCAAAAATTAAGTTGAATTTTGAAGGGAGCAGCCGCCAAGCGGAGTCAAAAATTAAGTTGAATTTTGAAGGGAGCAGCCGCCAAGCGGAGTCAAAAATTAAGTTGAATTTTGAAGGGAGCAGCCGCCAAGCGGAGTCAAAAATTAAGTTGAATTTTGAAGGGAGCTGCTCCCGCCTGGGGTCAAAAATTAAGTTGAATTTTGAAGGGAGCAGCCCCCGACGGGGTCAAAAATTAAGTTGAATTTTGAAGGGAGCAGCCGCCAAGCGGAGTCAAAAATTAAGTTGAATTTTGAAGGGAGCAGCCGCCAAGCGGAGTCAAAAATTAAGTTGAATTTTGAAGGGAGCAGCCGCCAAGCGGAGTCAAAAATTAAGTTGAATTTTGAAGGGAGCAGCCGCCGACTGGGGTCAAAAATTAAGTTGAATTTTGAAGGGAGCAGCTCCCGACTGGGGTCAAAAATTAAGTTGAATTTTGAAGGGAGCAGCTCCCGACTGGGGTCAAAAATTAAGTTGAATTTTGAAGGGAGCAGCCGCCAAGCGGAGTCAAAAATTAAGTTGAATTTTGAAGGGAGCTGCTCCCTACTGGGGTCAAAAATTAAGTTGAATTTTGAAGGGAGCAGCCGCCAAGCGGAGTCAAAAATTAAGTTGAATTTTGAAGGGAGCAGCCGCCAAGCGGAGTCAAAAAATTAAGTTGAATTTTGAAGGAGCAGCCGCCAAGCGGAGTCAAAAATTAAGTTGAATTTTGAGGGAGCAGCCGCCAAGCGGAGTCAAAAATTAAGTTGAATTTTGAAGGGAGCAGCCGCCAAGCGGAGTCAAAAATTAAGTTGAATTTTGAAGGGAGCAGCCGCCAAGCGGAGTCAAAAATTAAGTTGAATTTTGAAGGGAGCAGCCGCCAAGCGGAGTCAAAAATTAAGTTGAATTTTGAAGGGAGGAGCCGCCAAGCGGAGTCAAAAATTAAGTTGAATTTTGAAGGGAGCAGCCCCCGACCGGAGTCAAAAATTAAGTTGAATTTTGAAGGAGCAGCCGCCAAGCGGAGTCAAAAATTAAGTTGAATTTTGAAGGGAGCAGCCCCCGACTGGGGTCAAAAATTAAGTTGAATTTTGAAGGGAGCAGCCGCCAAGCGGAGTCAAAAATTAAGTTGAATTTTGAAGGGAGCAGCCGCCAAGCGGAGTCAAAAATTAAGTTGAATTTTGAAGGGAGCAGCCCCCGACTGGGGTCAAAAATTAAGTTGAATTTTGAAGGGAGCAGCCGCCAAGCGGAGTCAAAAATTAAGTTGAATTTTGAAGGGAGCAGCCGCCAAGCGGAGTCAAAAATTAAGTTGAATTTTGAAGGGAGCAGCCGCCAAGCGGAGTCAAAAATTAAGTTGAATTTTGAAGGGAGCAGCCGCCAAGCGGAGTCAAAAATTAAGTTGAATTTTGAAGGGAGCAGCCGCCAAGCGGAGTCAAAAATTAAGTTGAATTTTGAAGGGAGCAGCCGCCAAGCGGAGTCAAAAATTAAGTTGAATTTTGAAGGGAGCAGCCGCCAAGCGGAGTCAAAAATTAAGTTGAATTTTGAAGGGAGCAGCCCCCGACCGGGGTCAAAAATTAAGTTGAATTTTGAAGGGAGCAGCCGCCAAGCGGAGTCAAAAATTAAGTTGAATTTTGAAGGGAGCAGCCGCCAAGCGGAGTCAAAAATTAAGTTGAATTTTGAAGGGAGCAGCCGCCAAGCGGAGTCAAAAATTAAGTTGAATTTTGAAGGGAGCAGCCGCCAAGCGGAGTCAAAAATTAAGTTGAATTTTGAAGGGAGCAGCCGCCAAGCGGAGTCAAAAATTAAGTTGAATTTTGAAGGGAGCAGCCGCCAAGCGGAGTCAAAAATTAAGTTGAATTTTGAAGGGAGCAGCCCGCCAAGCGGAGTCAAAAATTAAGTTGAATTTTGAAGGGAGCAGCCGCCAAGCGGAGTCAAAAATTAAGTTGAATTTTGAAGGGAGCTGCTCCCGACTGGGGTCAAAAATTAAGTTGAATTTTGAAGGGAGCTGCTCCTTACTGGGGTCAAAAATTAAGTTGAATTTTGAAGGGAGCAGCCGCCAAGCGGAGTCAAAAATTAAGTTGGATTTTGAAGGGAGCTGCTCCCTACTGGGTTCAAAAATTAAGTTGAATTTTGAAGGGAGCTGCTCCTTACTGGGGTCAAAAATTAAGTTGAATTTTGAAGGGAGCAGCCGCCAAGCGGAGTCAAAAATTAAGTTGGATTTTGAAGGGAGCTGCTCCCTACTGGGGTCAAAAATTAAGTTGAATTTTGAAGGGAGCAGCCGCCAAGCCGAGTCAAAAATTAAGTTGAATTTTGAAGGGAGCAGCCGCCAAGCCGAGTCAAAAATTAAGTTGAATTTTGAAGGGAGCAGCCGCCAAGCGGAGTCAAAAATTAAGTTGAATTTTGAAGGGAGCAGCCGCCAAGCGGAGTCAAAAATTAAGTTGAATTTTGAAGGTAGCTGCCCCGACTGGGGTCAAAAATTAAGTTGAATTTTGAAGGGAGCAGCCGCCAAGCGGAGTCAAAAATTAAGTTGAATTTTGAAGGGAGCAGCCGCCAAGCGGAGTCAAAAATTAAGTTGAATTTTGAAGGGAGCAGCCGCCAAGCGGAGTCAAAAATTAAGTTGAATTTTGAAGGGAGCAGCCGCCAAGCGGAGTCAAAAATTAAGTTGAATTTTGAAGGGAGCAGCCGCCAAGCGGAGTCAAAAATTAAGTTGAATTTTGAAGGGAGCAGCCCCCGACTGGGGTCAAAAATTAAGTTGAATTTTGAAGGGAGCAGCCGCCAAGCGGAGTCAAAAATTAAGTTGAATTTTGAAGGGAGCAGCTCCCGACTGGGGTCAAAAATTAAGTTGAATTTTCAAGGGAGCAGCCGCCAAGCGGAGTCAAAAATTAAGTTGAATTTTGAAGGGAGCTGCCCCCGACCGGGGTCAAAAATTAAGTTGAATTTTGAAGGGAGCAGCCGCCAAGCGGAGTCAAAAATTAAGTTGAATTTTGAAGGGAGCAGCCGCCAAGCGGAGTCAAAAATTAAGTTGAATTTTGAAGGGAGCAGCCCCCAAGCGGGGTCAAAAATTAAGTTGAATTTTGAAGGGAGCAGCCGCCAAGCGGAGTCAAAAATTAAGTTGAATTTTGAAGGGAGCAGCCGCCAAGCGGAGTCAAAAATTAAGTTGAATTTTGAAGGGAGCAGCCGCCAAGCTGAGTCAAAAATTAAGTTGAATTTTGAAGGGAGCAGCCGCCAAGCGGAGTCAAAAATTAAGTTGAATTTTGAAGGGAGCTGCTCCCGACTGGGGTCAAAAATTAAGTTGAATTTTGAAGGGAGCAGCCGCCAAGCGGAGTCAAAAATTAAGTTGAATTTTGAAGGGAGCAGCCCCCGACCGGAGTCAAAAATTAAGTTGAATTTTGAAGGAGCAGCCGCCAAGCGGAGTCAAAAATTAAGTTGAATTTTGAAGGGAGCAGCCGCCAAGCGGAGTCAAAAATTAAGTTGAATTTTGAAGGTAGCTGCTCCCGACTGGGGTCAAAAATTAAGTTGAATTTTGAAGGGAGCAGCCCCCAAGCTGGAGTCAAAAATTAAGTTGAATTTTGAAGGGAGCAGCCGCCAAGCGGAGTCAAAAATTAAGTTGAATTTTGAAGGGAGCTGCTCCCGACTGGGGTCAAAAATTAAGTTGAATTTTGAAGGGAGCAGCCGCCAAGCGGAGTCAAAAATTAAGTTGAATTTTGAAGGGAGCAGCCGCCAAGCGGAGTCAAAAATTAAGTTGAATTTTGAAGGGAGCTGCTCCCTACTGGGGTCAAAAATTAAGTTGAATTTTGAAGGGAGCAGCCGCCAAGCGGAGTCAAAAATTAAGTTGAATTTTGAAGGGAGCAGCCCCCAAGCTGGGGTCAAAAATTAAGTTGAATTTTGAAGGGAGCAGCCGCCAAGCGGAGTCAAAAATTAAGTTGAATTTTGAAGGGAGCAGCCGCCAAGCGGAGTCAAAAATTAAGTTGAATTTTGAAGGGAGCAGCCGCCAAGCGGAGTCAAAAATTAAGTTGAATTTTGAAGGGAGCTGCTCCCGACTGGGGTCAAAAATTAAGTTGAATTTTGAAGGGAGCAGCCGCCAAGCGGAGTCAAAAATTAAGTTGAATTTTGAAGGGAGCAGCCCCCAAGCGGAGTCAAAAATTAAGTTGAATTTTGAAGGGAGCAGCCGCCAAGCGGAGTCAAAAATTAAGTTGAATT